CAATTTTATTTGATCTCTACATGCAAGATAGCCAAAAAAGCTTAAGATATACTACAAATTTCTCATTAAGGAATTTCCTTTCTGAAGTCATCCAAACTTCAAATAATCACTTTTGAGTTGGGTTAATTCTCTAAATGGTCATTGAACTTTTCTTAAAGTTTCTACGGGGTCACTAAACTTAAAAAAAATTGCCCCATTAGTCAGTTAACTTTGAAAATTAGTACCATCACTACGTAAATGATGTTTGCAAAGTTGGAAGGATTTGATGACATGTCTAATGGTATAGATTACGTAGCACGCATTTAGACCTAAATGTAATGCTTCATTGAGTATTTTTTTAAAGCCAATGCTTTCTTCAAGTATTTGGAGAACAAAGATCAACTTGTGTTGAATGTTCAATCTCATTCGTTGTTCAAGCTCCTTGGCATGAGTGAAAAATGTTGATTCTTAATTCAAGTAATGGTTGCGATCGAGTACAATATGAAAGTAATGATAAAGTTAAGACCGATGATTTTGATTCCACGTTATCAACAAGCCAAAAGAAAAGATACAAAGTGAGTAGTTCTTAATTTCTTTTGATTGTTCTTTGTTAATTATGAGAAATCACAAAATGAATACTATTGTATTTTTTATCAATTAAGTAGATTGCTAGACCCGTGGCATGAGGGCACTTGGATGTTTCCCTTTGGGGTTTACCACATTATATCTAGTGTTCAAGTTTTAATTTGTTATTTATATTTCTCACTTAGTTAATATTGTTCGAACTTAGTATCAATCTGCACATTGCAGTCAGAGCCATTCGAAACTGAGTATAGGAAGTTGTGACTTTATAGCCTCACGCTTATATGTTTCAATCCATGGTTTCTAACTTAATAATTGAAGGGGCTATGCGACCAATTCCCTTAGCCTTTTTTGCAATTGTTCAAAGGTACTATTTATACTCATTCATCGTGTTGTCCTAGCTCTTAATCTAGCCATCCCTGGTATGATTTCTTGTAGCATCATTGGTGCTGTTCGTGGAAAGCACTATTGAATATCGTGGTAAACATGAACAAGACGTCATGCTTTTGGGCCATCCACTGTGGAACCCTTCTCTCACTTTTAATCACTATGAGGAGGATCCCATAATAGATCCACTTTACCACGCTTAGAAATACCCTATAGTTTAGAAATCAGGAACTGATTTCCCCGTAGAATACCTTCAATAATGAGTTTTAGTCAATATGGATGGGGGGAATGGTTCGACTATACTATGTGAGCTCTTTATGTTCTTGCCCCCTTTTCCTTACTTATGGTTCGTCAGGTATGAGCTCGCGGAATTGATTCTCTGATTTAAGAAATAATCCTCGAAGTCTGATTTTATTACTTATATTAAATTTAATACTTATCATGTTTTTATTGTTTGAGTATGTCTTTGAGGGGACATGCTATGATTGTAGCATTTTTTACATGCGCTATAAGGCTTTTTTGTGCATTTCAAGGTTAGTGGTCTTTGCACATTTAATGTGCGTGTCAATTACGTGTAATCATGTCCGTTCATTTTTGAATTCTTAATCGTCGGGGCGCTTTAATATTAGATGGGTGTGATTGTTGGATAATTTGGAAGGTTGCGATTTGTTTAAGCACGTAACTTAATGGTTCATGTTCCTTATTGAATACTATAAATACGTTCTTCCCCTTTGTATGTTCCTTTCTACTTTTTCTATATTGCTCTTTGTTTATTTGTGCCTTAAACCATTTTTTTTTTTGGCGATTCTATCTTTCACTTTGGAAATTTCTTCACTATTTACCTCTATATTGCCCTTGTGATTCTTTTGTTAGAATGTCTTTCCAGTCCAAATCCTACAAAATGTCATATAAATCGAAAGTAGAAAGCTTTAGACTTAGGGATACCTCCCCTAATATGCCCTCCTTTTTCGAAGGATCCAACATGTTGAGGTGTTGCTTCAATCTGTAATGAATCCATCCAGTTCTGGGGCTAACTCAAAACTTCTTAAACTAAGAATAATTCTCAACATAAGGTTGATGAGGGTCGCGAGCAGGCGGACACAGGGGATGGCATGGGGCTTCACGAGACCCTCCAACTTTGGGGCCAATTTTTTTCCTATGTTTTTGTCACAATTTTCAAATTCGTTATGGGATGCCAAATAAAATTGAAATATTGCATTCTTGGTATTATTTCAAAGTACTCACAGTCTAATTTTATGTTTCGTTAATGGTGCACGTAACGATCAGCCATAACAAATGTTACGGTTAATCAAAGTAGGCTGTTCCAAACTACTATTTTGAGAATTTTGATAACGTGTTAACTTTAAAAATTCTCTGATGCTTGTATGCTAGCCGAATCTAAAATCGTCCCATGTCATTGACATAGCGAATGGTCCAAACAAATATAAAAAATAGATAAAGATGTATAAAACGTATGTCTTAAAAAAAAAGCGTCTTAACTCTTTTTTCTTTAAAAAAATTCAATTATTATTATTTTTGCAGTACAAATTTCTCAATATAATTTACATCATCTTATTAGAAAGTTTTATATGGGATATGAGATTAAAATTTTTCGAACTTTACATCCGAAAAACTCATACTCCATGTAAATTTTTGGATGTAAAATTACATTGGATGTGATTTTTTTTTATGTAAATTTTCGAATGTAAAATTCTTCACAGCATTTTTGTAAGTTTGATTATACCCCCCTAACTCAAAATGTCTACGTCCGCCCATGATCGCCAGCCTTCAAATGTTTTGGATGACATTAATGTTAGTTATGGGGAAGTCTTGAAAGTCTCAAAACTATTCACTAATATTACTGAGAAGGACTTGAGTGTAATTCGGGACCGCTTTGGCATGCCTAATGACACAGAGTTGATTTGTCATAGACAATTCCAAACCGTGAAGTGCCCTTCTCATGACTGTATAGCCATCTAAAAGCATTCCATGGATATGAGGATTAGAGTTTCCTTTCATCATTTTTTTCGTAATATTTTTTCTTTCTTCAATATCGCTCCTATCCAGCTACCTCCAAATGAGTAGACCATATGACGAGGTCCTTTTTCTATGGAATGCTGCGGGTATGGGGGGAAAGCTTTCACCAGACTTTTTTAATCTATTTACCATCCCATGAAGGTTGGAAATAAAGTGAACCCATAGAAAGGGTACTCCATCTTTCCCCTCGCACTCCTAGGACATGCTCGAAGCTTGTCATTACTCTCAATAAAGTACATAATTGGAAAGAGAGCTTCTTCTTTGTTCGCGGTAATTGTGGACTTCAATCTAATGACCCCCATCCTTCCGTGATTGTGCCTTGATTTTACTGCGAGTTTAGGAAGTGTTTTTCCTTTACTTAGTTTTTACTTTTTAAATTAAAAATTGTCTTATTTAACTATGTTGGTGTAGATAAACAACCGGCTCCCCTTCGCGGTCAAGCTCTTAACGAACTTCGTGCTTTGATTGTACATTGTTCTTATAAGTTCTGAGACTCATGAAACTGAGGGGCTGTTCCACCCCTCCAATCCAAAATTTCACGACATTGGTATCCAAGTTACTATAAGTAAATTTATATACTAGCTTATTTATTTCAAAGATTTTTTCTTATCTTTGGATAATTTCTGATTTTTTTTGTGTTTCTTTTGTAGTGTGAACCAACTTTAGTACCACTCCTTTGACATCCTTTAAGCGTCAAAAAACTTCTAGGGGTACTTACAAAAATACCCTTAAAATTAGGGATGTTTTGAAAATCATATGAAATGTTTTTAGGAAGTAAAAAATACTATATAAAATGAAAAAGTGACACGGTCACTTTGACACAAACTCAAAAAAAGTGATAAAATTCAAAAAAAAGTGGCACACACTCAAAAAGGTGACAAATACTTAAAAAAGTGATAGAACATCGATCAAAACCTATGTTTGTTATTCAAAAAAGTGATAGAAATTTTAAAAAGTAACAAACAATAAAAATTGAAAAAAAATTCAGGAAAGTGACAAACACTTAAAAAAGTTACACACATACAAAAAAGTGATAAAATTGTCACTTTTTTTTAAAAAAAAAGTGAAACAATGTCACTTTTAAAATATTAGTGTCATTTTACAATCTCACTTTTATTAAAAAGTGATGGTTGTTACTAAAAAAATGATTGAAATTTCAAGAAAGCGATTGAAAAAAGTGACAAACACTAAAAAAAAGTGACATACTAAAAAAGTGACAAAAATTCAA